ATCTTCATCTTCATCTTCATCTTCATCTTCATCTTCATCTTCATCTTCATCTTCTTCTTCTTCTTCTTCTTCTCAGTCTTTTTGAATTGCGCAGGAAGGACACTGATTCGGCATCGTCTTTTCTTAGATTCTAAATACCCAGTGTGTTCATATGCTATTTTGGCCAGTTCCCTTTTCTCACAAAGTGATGCTTACAGTAACAGTGACATTTTTGCTTCCTTCTTCTCGCTTTAAGCGTTGTGAATTTTCTTCATCGGTTTCCACTTTCAAGTTGTCCACTTTGGACGTCGTCCCTGGCACTTCRCAGGAATCAATCTTGCTTGATCTAAGCCACGTACAAAACTTAAATAAAACTTTCTTGAACTGCGGCATACGCCAAGCGTACAAATAAGGGTTAATCGCAGAGTTTAGTAGGACAATTACAAACTGCAAGTCTCTAAGCCAGTGAATAAACTCGCAGTTGCATTTCGTACAAAAGTTTAGGACGTAAATAATGATGCATGCTGGAGCGAAGCAGAGAATATAGGCGAGTAAGACTAGTACCAAAGCCTTTGTAACCTTCGCTTCCCATTTTAAACTGGAGATTTTCTTTTTATTCACTCTGTTTGCTTGTGTGCTCGAAGCTCTTTGACGGCTTAATGACCTTACCTGTTTACGAAGACGATTGAAGATGCTGACATAGACGAACAATAGTACCAGAAAAGTTAGAAGAACAGCGGTACTGGCGAAAATTAAAGAGTAAAATATATACCCAAATTTAAAATAAACCATACTAAGTCCTATYGATACCAGCCAAATAACCAAGGATAGATAGATACACTTCTTTGTAGACAAATAGCTTTTGTATTTCAGAGGGTAGATCACAGCAACGTATCTGTCGATTGTCAATGCACCCAAAGAGAGGATCGAAGCTGTCGACAGAATGAAGTAAGATATGTGGAGGACCCGAATATCTACGAGTTCTATTTTGAGTGCTTCGCTAAGATGGAATACTGTCGATATAGGATCCATTAAGATTCCAACCAAGAGGTCTGTCATCGCGAGACTTAGAATCAGAAAAGTGAACGGAGTTCGTAGCTCGTGGAATGGATCTTTCAAAATGGCGTAACATATCAGAGAGTTTCCTGGAAYAGTTACTAGTGTAAGACTTAAAGACACTGTCGTAGTGAGGATGGAAAGATATCTTGGTGCAGAAACGCCAACACACGAAGCACTGACGCTGTCGTTCGACATTCTTGCCTTGACAAAATGGCCAATCTCTTTAAAAAAGTCTGCGGCAAAATTTAAGGCACTTATATGTAAATTGAAATGCTTGATAATGCTTTTAAGGCCTGGGGCTCCAACGCAGACTTTACATCGAGCTTTTGCTTATATACCTTTTGTACTCTGGCCAGAAACAAATCCAATTTTGGATGATATAAAAACCTTGATATGAAAGATGAATAATTCGGTAGCCGGATATTGCAAGGATAATTAGCTTTAGCCAATTTGTAAATAGATAATTCTGGTATGCGTAGAACGAAGATGATCTAATTGAAAACACGATATCCGAATTAGTATTCGAAATAGAACTCAAACTTTACCACATATTTTTGTTTTCTAAGTTGTCGCCGGTTTCTTCTGTGTTTCTTCCAGATTTCACGATTTTTTGTTTTCATTTTAATTTAATTAAGTCGCCAAAAGACAGAGTTTCGTAAGAAAATATTTTTTGAAGGCTGTTTTTGTTGAATGCGGGTTTGAAATGTTGACAAAGATATATGTGATCAAGGTGACAGATCTGTAATTAGGAGAATGGTTATTTGGAAAGTATAATAGCAATAGCTGTAGTGCTA